TGTTTTGTTATTTCTTATTTTTGTTTTAGTGTGTTTCAGGTTTTGTTAGTGTTCGTTATTTCAGGTGATATCTTCTATACTCTATCTTTCTACCTTAGAACATTGAGGACAATGTCTCGTTCTGGTTGGGGGGAGAGGGTAGTAGTTGATAAAAAAAAATGTTTTTCATTTCATAAAGCATGTGCATAATTATTGTTACTAGGATGGCAGAGTAAAGGAGTTCTTTTGTTAAAGTGACTCTTGAGACGCATCTTAGTAACCATTCTTAACAAGGTCTATTATAATACTTCCTGAAATATTCAAGTTTACAAACTCTCGTATTGTTACCGCTTAATTCTGCTCATAAACTTATTTAACATGTATTCTTAAACCTTAATTTACACACACACACTTTAATATATGATTGTGGGTTGCATATTGGATTATTACATTATTTATGTTCTTTTGTTAAAGGTAGCAACTAAGGGAAAGGGATTGTATATAATTAAAAAAAAAGAAAAAAGAAAAAAAAAATGATGATAATAAAAATGTAGATAAGTTTGGTTTCGTAGCCTCCCTAACCTAAGCAATTAAGCCCGAAGGGGTGTTTTAACACCTAATACCCTAAACTCAACTGACTTGGGAGCTATTGGCCTAACGCTTGTTACATGGGTTGAGGAGAAAAGCTTAAGGGAATCAAACATTGCACTATCTACATATCAGTATCTGCGACCCGAGTTACTAAGCTCGTAGGGGTGTCTTAACACCTAATGCCCTAAGACCAACTAGTCTGGGAGTCATTAGCTGAAAACTCGTTACATGGGTTAAAGATGCATGATGTTTTTAAATTATATGTATATAGATTTAAAAAAAAAAAAGAAAAAAATGAAAAAAAAGAGACAAAAATAGTAATCCCAACCCAAGGAAGTTAACCTTAAACATTAGAACAAAAATTTTGTTTTCTTCCAAGAAAAGCCCCATAATTATGTGTTGTGATTGATCCTTCCATGAGTCGCATAAATTGGTCATCTACGGGAAGCCGTAAAAAGCTTAGATTGGATTTGAGCCTTCATTTGTGAATTTTTGTGTCTTTTGGTTTTATTATTGTGTTTTGTTATTTCTTATTTTTGTTTTAGTGTGTTTCAGGTTTTGTCAGTGTTCGTTATTTCAGGTGATATCTTTTATACTCTATCTTTCTACCTTAGAACATTGAGGACAATGTCTCGTTTTGGTTGGGGGGAGAGGGTAGTAGTTGATAAAAAAAAATTGTTTTTCATTTCATAAAGCATGTGCATAATTGTTGTTACTAGGATGGCAGAGTAAAGGAGTTCTTTTGTTAAAGTGACTCTTGAGACGCATCTTAGTAACCATTCTTAACAAGGTCTATTATAATACTTCCTGAAATATTCAGGTTTACAAACTCTCGTATTGTTACCACTTAATTCTGCTCATATACTTATTTAACATGTATTCTTAAACCTTAATTTACACACACACACTTTAACATATGATTGTGGGTTGCATATTGGATTATTACATTATTTATGTTCTTTTGTTAAAGGTAACAACTAAGGGAAAGGGATTGTATATAATTAAAAAAAAAACATGAAAAAAAAGAAAGAAAAAAAAAAGAAAAAAAAGAAGAAAAAAAAATGATGATAATAAAAATGTAGATAAGTTTGGTTTCGTAGCCTCCCTAACCTAAGCAATTAAGTCCGAAGGGGTGTTTTAACACCTAATACCCTAAAGTCAACTGACTTGGGAGCTATTGGCCCAACGCTTGTTACATGGGTTGAGGAGAAAAGCTTAAGGGAATCAAACATTGCACTATCTACATATCAGTATCTGCGACCCGAGTTACTAAGCTCGTAGGGGTGTCTTAACACCTAATGCCCTAAGACCAACTGGTCTGGGAGTCATTAGCTGAAAGCTCGTTACATGGGTTAAAGATGCATGATGTTTTTAAAGTATATGTATATAGAGTTAAAAAAAAAAAAGACAAAAATAGTAATCCCAACCCAAGGAAGTTAACCTTAAACATTAGAACAAAAATTTTGTTTTCTTCCAAGAAAAGCCCCATAATTATGTGTTGATACATTGAGCACAAAAGAAAGGTTTATTAATATCTTGTTAAGAGGTATTGAGCAGATATATAAATTTAATGAGAGTTTGTTTATCTGGATAGACTAATGGAAGTTAAATGATGAATACCTTGCTTTGTGGAATATACAAATTGTTTTTCTATTTTACGCTTTGATTACTAGGGACTAGTAATAAGCTGGTTGGGGGGTGTGATTAGTACTTAAAAGTGCATTTTTATCATGGTTTTATATCATCATTTTGCACTTGAAGTATCAATAACTCCTTAACTAAAATATGTTTTATAATAATGTATCTAATAATATAAGATACCTATAATTTGTGGTAAATGTCTATTTTTAATGCAGGCCTATCACATAAATGAAAGGATTGATTGATGACTTGAAGAACTTAAATTGCAAGGATAAAGAGATGGCCAAACTTAGAAAAGAGATGTCGGTGCAATCCAAACCGGAACACTGTTTGGTAATTGGGTCATATCTAGAGCTATATATCTCAAATTTAGGTCTAATTTATATGGATGGAAAGGTAAGACATAGGCCTACAACTTTCATATGGAGCCCAAGATCTAAAAAGGCCATTATCAAGTCCAAATTGTAGCAACAACAAAGAAGCCCGAATCTGTCTTCCAACCCGAGCACTGTTCGGTATTTTGGTCATATCTGGAGTTCTAGAAGTCCAAATGAGCTGAATGTTTTACAGACGAAAGCTGAGACAATTGCCTACAACTTTCATGTTTGCAACTAGCTCCAATTTTGACGTTATCAATGACGTTTTGGGCAGACAAGAGAAGATAAGGATTGTCACCAAGTCAAAAGTTGGCCACCCACTTATCAATTAGTCATCAAATCAATAGTTCCCAATTTTGACCTATAAAAGGAGGCATTTGCCATGCATTTAGGCATCTTGGTTTCCAGATCAAGATCATGCTCTTCCTTTCTCTCTTTGTATTTTTTATGCTTTGTTTTCATTAATATTAAGTTTATGCCTTTCATTTCCTTTCCTTTACTTAGTTAACTTTTATGTTCTTATTTTGTTTATCTATTTTGCTTTCTTTCATTATGTCTAGCTAAGTTAGTTATGTCAAGGTGAAAAGGTTACACTAATGGTGTAAGAATAAGTATAATGTAAACGTAATATGGACTTTAATGTTTGATACTAACATGTTTTATATTTGTTATCTTGTTTACTCTTTAATACTTTGCTTGTGTTTGTTATCTTGTTTACTCTTTAATACTTTGCTTGTTAAATGATTAATCTTGATTTATGTTGTATAACACTTGGTACAACAAATGCTTGGCACTTTCATAGCCCATAATGTATGGTATAACCGACACTTGAGCTATGAAAGGAACTTGATTTGTTGTTAACATAAGTTATAATCATGAATGCTTGACGAGATTTACAAGTATTAGCATTAATTGAATAAGATGACTAATGTAATCATGTTAACAATATATAATCTGATTGGAACCTCCTTTGTGTGTGGTTTCCAATTCAATAATAAGAGTTTATACTATACTTGTTTCACATATCATTAGTGGATCCTCTAACCTTGACATTTATTGTTATCGTTGTTAAATCTTTATGACCATTAGTGGAACCTCTAACCTTGACATTTGTTATTATTATTGTTTAATCCTTACATTAATTTTCCATCTCCAAGTTCTCATCATCTTCTTCTTCTTCTCTTTCTTTATTATTATTATTATTATTACTACTACTATTACTACTACTACTACTACTACTACTATTATTATTATTATTATTATTATTGTTGTTGTTGTTGTTGTTGTTGTTATTGTTATTGTTATTGTTGTTGTGTTATTGTTATTTATAATTTGTACAATTAACCTCCCTGTGGTTCGACCCCGGTCTTGTCGGGTTATTTATTACTTCGACACTCCTGCACTTGGGAGAAGACATCAATCTTTTAGTCGTGTCAAATATTTAATATTTATGAGAAGTTGTGATTGGTTTGTTGGATAATCTCGAGGTAATGTAATATTTTTCAAGTTTATTTACCTAACTTAGTTAATTAATACATTATGTAATTATAATTTTATAAAGGTTCGATATAAATCATGGATGATCGTTCATGGATGTATCGAGATTCATCCCAAGGATTGCGGAGGATGGATTATTGTAACGAGGTTCAGGGTTTTATTAATTTTGCAATATATATTCCTATAAATTTTACTAGAGGCGGCATTAGGTGTCCATGTAGGAAGTGTCAAAATAAAAAGTATCTGCATCCAGATGTTGTAATGATGCATCTTCTACACAAAGGGTTTATAGAGAATTACCAGTGTTGGTATGCATATGGAGAAGTATATGTTAGTGAGAGGAGAATGGAAGAAATGGTGGTTGGGTCTACTTCTAGTGTTAGCAACGAGAATGACAACACTAATACTTACAGAAACATGGTTATGGATGCAATGAGAATGAATCAAGGTAATGTCAGTCAATGTCCAATCATAGAAGAAGAACCTAATATAGATGCAGATAGGTTTTTTGATTTGTTGAAAGATTATGACAAACCATTATGGGATGGCTGCACAAACCATAGTAAATTATCGGTCGTAGCACAGGTGTTCACCATCAAGTTAGAGCACGGGTTGAGTGAGGCCGAGTATGACAAGATTATTGAATGGGCAAGAAGCATTTTACCTGAAGAGAACAGGCTGAAAGAGAACTTCTATGTTGCGAAGTCCATGATGAAACTCCTCAGTTTAGGATACTAGAAAATTGACATGTGCCCTAACTTCTGCATGTTATACTACTTTGAAAATGCTGAGATGACCGAGTACATGACATGCGGGCATTCCCATTACAAACCTAGAACTAGTAGGGGAAAGACTCTAGTAGCATATAAAAAACTTAGATATTTCCCGATCACACCTCGACTGCAAAGGTTATCCATGTCACCAAGGACTGCTGAGCACATGACATGGCACCAAGCACACCATGTGGTTGATGGAGTGACAGTTCATCCTTCTTACGGCGAAGCGTGGAAATGTTTTAACAGTGTTCATCCTCACTTTTCAGCTGAATCAAGAAATGTGCGTCTTGGGTTGTGTACAGACAGATTCAACCCATTTGGGTCATTTGCTGTTCCTTATTCTCGTTGGCCGGTCATACTCACAGTTTATAACTTACCACCGGGAATGTGTATGAGGCCGGAGTTCATGTTTTTATCTACTGTCATACCCAATCCAAGCAGCCCGGGGTGGAATATAGATGTTTGTCTTCGACCGTTGATTGATGAGTTGGTGCAGTTGTGGTCCTCCGAAGCTCTGACTTATGATATATTGAGGAAACAAAATTTCCTTATAAAGGCGGCTTTGATGTGGACTATAAATGATTTTCCAGCTTATGGAATGCTTTCTGGTTGGAGCACGCATGAGAAACTCGCATGTCCATACTACATGGAAAACAACAAGGCATTCACGCTAGCAAATGGAGGTAAAGCTTCTTTTTTTTATTGTCACCGTGATTAGTACTTAAAAGTATATTTTTATCAAGGTTTTATATCATCATTTTGCATTTGAAGTATCAATAACTCCTTAACTAAAGCATGTTTTATAATAATATTTCTAATAATATAAGATACCTTTAATTTATGGTAAATGTTCATTTTAAATGCAGGCCTATCACATAAATTAAAGGATTGATTGATGAATTTAAGAACTGAAATTGAAAGGATAAAGAGATGACCAAACTTAGAAAAGAGATATCGGTGCAATCCAAACCAGAACACTGTTCGGTAATTGGGTCATATCTAGAGCTATAGATCTCAGATTTAGGTCTACTTTATATGGATGGAAAGGTAAGACATAGGCCTATAACTTTCATATGAAGCCCAAGATCTAAAAAGGCCATTTTCAAGTCCAAATTGTTGCAACAACAAAGAAGCCCGAATCTGTTTTCCAGCCCGAGCACTGTTCAGTAGTTTAGCCATATCTGGAGTTCTAGAAGTCTAAATGAGCTGAATGTTTTACACAAGAAAGTTGAGACAATTGCATACAACTTTCATGTTTTTGAGTGGCTCCAATTTTGACGTTATCAATGACGTTTTAGGCAGACAAGAGAAGATAAGGATTGCCACCAAGTCAAGAGTTGGCCACCCACTCATCAATTAGTCATCAAATCAATAGTTCTCAATTTTGGCCTATAAAAGGAGGCATTTGCCATGCATTTAGGCATCTTGGTTTCCAGATCAAGATCATGCTCTTGCTTTCTCTCTTTGTATTTTTTGTAATGTTTATGCTTTGTTTTCCTTAATATCAAGTTTATGTCTTTCAATTCCTTTCCTTTGCTTTGTTAACTCTTATCTTATTTATGTTCTTATTTTGTTTATTTATTTTTCTTTCTTTCATTATGTCTAGCTAAGTTTATTATGTCAAGGTGAAAAGGTTACACTAATGGTGTAAGAATAAGTATAGTGTAAACTTAATATGGACTTTAATGTTTGATACTAACATGTTTTGTATTTGTTATCTTGTTCACTCTTTAATACTTTGCTTGTTAAATGACTAATCTTGATTTATGTTGTATAACACTTGGTACAATAAATACTTGACACTTCCATAGCCCATAATGTATGGTATAACCGACACTTGAGCTATGAAAAGAACTTGATTTGTTGTTAACATAAGTTATAATCATGAATGCTTGACGAGATTTACAAGTACTAGCATTAATCGAATAAGATGACTAATGTAATCATGTTAACAATCTATAATCTGATTGGAACCTCCTTTGTGTGTGGTTTCCAATTGAATAATAAGAGTTTATGCTATACTTGTTTGACATATTATTAGTTGAACCTCTAACCTTGACATTTGTTATTATCATTATTTAATCCTTACATTAATATTTCATCTCCAAGTTCTCATCATCTTCTTTTTCTTCTCTTTCTTTATTATTATTATTATTACTACTACTACTACTACTACTATTATTGTTGTTGTTGTCATTGTTATTGTTATTATTGTTGTTGTTGTTGCTATTGCTATTATTGTTGTTTATAATTTGTACAATTAACCTCCCTATGGTTCGACCCCGGTCTTGCCGGGTTATTTATTACTTCGACACTCCTACACTTGGGACAAGACATCAATCTTTTAGTTGTGTCACACCGTCGCTTCTTGCCACTTAATCACAAGTACAAAAAGAACAGAAAAGATTTCTTTGTTAGCAGAGTTGAAAAAGATGTTGCATCCCCGCGTCTTTCTAGTGAAGAATTGCATGATGTTGTCTCAGAGTACGGTGACATTGTGTTTGGCCTTCAATCAGGTAAGCAAAAGTTTCGTGGTTTTGGATTGACCCATAATTGGGTAAAGTGAAGTATCTTTTGGGAGCTTCCTTATTGGAAGACCAATCCGCGCTGCCATAACCTTGACGTCATGCAAAGAACATGTTTAAGTACATTTTCAACACCATCATGGATGTGAAAGGGAAGACAAAGGACAACATCAAGGCTAGATTGGATGTAGCTATGTTTTGTAACCATAAAAATATAGGGTTAGTTTGCGATAAGTTATGGGTCGGAAAACCAAGAACAAGCTTTATGTTAAAGGAAAATGCACAACTACTAGTCTAAAATGGCTTAAGAGTTTGCATTTTCTGGATGGACATGCCTCGAACATATTTATGTAAACACTCATCCCATTAGCTTTTTGTGATTTGTTGCTAAAAGGGATATAGGATGCACTCACGGAGATCAGTCTTTAGAGATTTATGCTTCAGCAAGTTAAATGTTGATCATATTGAGAGACTTGAAACAAATATCATTGAGACACTATACAAACTTAAGATGATATTCCCTTCATTATTTTTTGACTCAATAAAGCATCTCCCCATACATCTACCGTTCGATGCAAAAGTTGGATGACTGGTCCAGTATAGATGTATGTACCCATTCAAACAGTTAGATATTATAGTTGCAATGTAATTTATATGTAAAAGTATTTTCTTTTTTTCATTAAAAATATTTGATTAACTCAATGCAGGTACTTGTTCAATCTCAAGAAAAAGGTTAAGAACAAGGTGCATGTTGAGGCTTCGATATGTGAGGCCTATATTGTTGAGGAGATCTCAACATTTATCTTGTACTATTTCAAACCTTATCTGAGAATGAGAATCAATCACGTTCCACAGTATTATGATGGCGGTGAAGTGTCTTCCAGCGGGAACTTGTCAATATTCTCCAATCCTGGACGACTCATATCCAAAAATGCCATAAAAGGAAGAGATTTGTTAGAAATAGAGTTCAAACAAACACATTATTATGTTTGATTTAACTATGAGGAGCTGAGACCTTTTATTTAGTAAGTGTATATATGTGTAATACTAATTAAACTTTGTCAATAATATACTACTAATTATATATTGCAATATAATACACTCATTACCACTTGCAGGGAACATCGATAATATTTGTTGTCCAATAACTCACAGCTGACCGAATCCCAGATCTTTCAATTATGATTAGTACTTAAAAGTGCATTTTTATCATGGTTTTATATCATCATTTTGCACTTGAAGTATCAATAACTCCTTAACTAAAGCATGTTTTATAATAATATATCTAATAATATAAGATACCTTTAATTTATGGTAAATGTTCATTTTAAATGCAGACCTATCACATAAATGAAAATATTGATTGATGACTTTAAGAACTTAAATTGCAAAGGCAAAGAGATGGTCAAACTTATAAAAGAGATGTCGGTGCAATCCAAACCAGAACACTGTTCGGTAATTGGGTCATATCTGGAGCAACAGATCTCAGATTTAGGTCCAATTTATATGGATGGAAAGGTAAGACATAGGCCTACAACTTTCATATGGAGCCTAAGATCTAAAAAGGCCATTTGCAAGTCCAAATTGTAGGAACAACAAAGAAGCCCAAATTGTAGGAACAACAAAGAAGCCAAATATGGAGTTCTAGAAGTCCAAATGAGCTGAATTTTTTATACAAGAAAGCTGAGACAATTTCCTACAACTTTCATGTTTTCACCTGGCTCCAATTTTGATGTTATCAATGACGTTTTGGGCAAACAAGAGAAGATAAGGATTGTCACCAAGTCAAAAGTTGGTCACCCACTTATCAATTAGTCATCAAATCAATAGTTCCCAATTTTGGCCTATAAAAGGAGGCGTTTGCCATGTATTTAGGCATCTTGGTTTCCAGATCAAGATCATGCTCTTCCTTTCTCTCTTTGTATTTTTTGTAATGTTTATGTTTTGCTTTCATTAATATTAAGTTTATGCTTTTCATTTCCTTTCCTTTACTTAGTTAGCTTTTATGTTCTTATTTTGTTTATCTATTTTGCTTTCTTTCATTATGTCTAGCTAAGTTAGTTATGTCAAGGTGAAAAGGTTACACTAATGGTGTAAGAATAAGTATAATGTAAACTTAATATGGACTTTAATGTTTGATACTAACATGTTTTATATTTGTTATCTTGTTCACTCTTTAATACTTTGCTTGTTAAATGACTGATCTTGATTTATGTTGTATAACACTTGGTACAACAAATGCTTGTCACTCTCATAGCTCATACTGTATGGTATAACCAATACCTGAGCTATAAAAGGAACTTGATTTGTTGTTAACATAAGTTATAATCATGAATGCTTGATGAGATTTACAAGTAGTAGCATTAATTGAATAAGATGACTAATGTAATCATGTTAACAATATATAATCTGATTGGAACCTCCTTTGTGTGTGGTGTCCAATTCAATAATAAGAGTTTATACTATACTTGTTTGATATACCATTAGTGGAACCTCTAACCTTGACATTTCTTATTATTATTGTTTAATCCTTACATTAATTTTCCATCTCCAAGTTCTCATCATCTTTTTCTTCTTCTCTTTCTTTATTACTACTACTATTACTACTACTACTACTACTACTACTACTACTACTATTATTATTATTATTATTATTATTATTATTATTATTATTATTATTAGTATTACTATTATTATTATTATTATTATTGTTATTATTATTATTATTATTATTATTGTTATTGTTATTGTTATTGTTGTTGTATTATTGTTATTTACAATTTGTACAAATTATTATTATTATTATTATTATTATTATTATTACTATTGTTGTTGTTGTTATTGTTGTTTTATAATTGTTGTTTATAATTTGTACAATTAACCTCCCTGTGGTTCGACCCCGGTCTTGCCGGGTTATTTATTACTTCGACACTCCTACACTTGGGAGAAGACATCAATCTTTTAGTCGTGTCAAGTTTTTGGCGCCGTTGCCAGGGAGGTAAGTTCTTGTATAAATTATAGTATTTATTTTATTTTCTCTTTTCACTTTTCTTGTATATAACTTTGTTTCTTTTTATTTTGTTTTCTTCCTCCTTCTTTTGCTTTCTTCTTTTTTTTTTTTATTCCTACACGTGCATGAGAGTGTGGTCACGTACATCAAGTGGTAGACTTTGTAGGGTATCCTCATCATTTTCAGAAAATATGGCTGAAGAAGATAATCAATCACTTCATAATGAAAATAATGAGAATAACCGTGCTAGAACACTTAGAGACCACATGAATCCCACAAGAACAAGTGCACCATCATGCATAGTTTTTCCTTCTAATGCATCTCATTTTAATTTTAAACCAGACATTATTCAACTTTTACCTTCTTTTTATAGCTTAGAATTGGAAAATCCATACTTGCATTTAAGGGAATTTGAAGAGGTCTGCAACACATATAATAATTTAAATTGTAGCATGAACACCATCAGATTAAAGCTTTTCCCTTTTTCATTAAAAGATAAAGCTAAAACATGACTACAAAATTTAAGACCAGGATCCATTTGTGCTTGGGATGAAATGCAACAACAATTTTTAAAGAAGTTTTTCCCATCTCATAGAACAAACTCTTTCAAGAGACAAATCACCACTTTCACTCAAAAACCAAGAGAAACATTTTACCAATGTTGGGATAGGTATCGAGACTTGCTTAGTACTTGCCCTCAGCATGGTTTTGAAACATGGAGATTGGTTTCACATTTTTATGAAGGGTTAACACCTAAAGATAGGCAAATGGTTGAATTGATGTGCAATGGAACTTTTGAAGATAAAGACCATGATGAAGCAATGGAGTACTTAGACTTGTTAGCTGAAAATGCTCAAAATTGGGACACTACGGGTACTTATGAGGCACCGAGTAAAACTCAACCTCACACATCTAGTGGAGACATGTACAACCTTAGGGAAGATCATGACCTTCAAGCCAAGTTTGCATCTTTAGCTAGAAAAGTCGAGGCACTGGAATTGAAAAAGAGTGGTCAATTAAAATCTGTTGAAAACATTATGTGTCAAATCTGTGAAACAAATCAACACTCAACCAACGATTGACCAACCCTGCCTTCTTTTAAGGAATGTCTCCATGAACAAGCCAATGCTTTAAACAGTTTTCAAAGGGCCAACCACAACCCATACTCCCAAACATACAACCCTGATTGGAGAAATCACCCAAATTTTAGTTGGAAGAGTGAGAACAACAATGCACAAACTTCACAACCACCGTTTCAAGCACACCACAATTTCCAAAATTCTCATGGATATGCACCTTCTTATTCTCCACCTCCTAGAAGAAATCTTGAGGAAACATTGCATGCATTCATTGAAAAGCAAGAGATAATCAATACTCAACTTGCTCAAAACATGACAGATTTTAAAGATACTCTTGCAAAATTAACATCTACTCTCAGTTTCCAAGAGAAAGGTAAGTTTCCATCTCAACCACAACAAAATCCTAAGGGGCAATATAATGCAAATGCAAGTAGTTCCGGAAACCAACACATGGATCAAGTCAAATCAGTCACTACTCTACACAGTGGTAAGGTTATTGAAAAACCCTCTCTTGAACCTTATGAGAAAGATGATGAGTCAATCTCTGAGGGTAAGGAAGGGGTTGAATCTGAAAATTGCAAAGAAAAGACTGATTCTCCGCCAGCACTTCCATTTCCTCAAGTCATGACCAAACAAAGGAAAGTGAATCACAACTCTGAAATCTTTGAAACTTTCAAACAGGTAAGGATCAATATAGCTTTGCTGGATGCTATTAAACAGGTTCCTTCCTATGCTAAATTTTTTAAAGATCTCTGCACTGTGAAGAGGAAACTGAATGTGAAAAAGAAAGCCTTTTTAGCCGAACAAGTGATATTCTTCAAAACAATAATGCTTTGAAATATAAAGACCCTGGTTGTCCTACAATTTCCTGGTTTATTGGAGAGCATAAAATTGAAAGAGCCTTACTTGATCTTGGTGCTAGTGTGAATTTACTTCCATATTC